TTGTAATACCCTTATTACAAAAAATACGCCAAGCTATAAGTTTATCATTGGCGAGAGCGAAAATAGGAATAACAACAAACATAGGAATTAACATCGCGTTTGTAAAGGAAGGCTTGTAGGCGCGTTTGTAAAACAGACTTCACAAAAGCCGTACTCAATTATAAATACCGACAGTGACTAGACATTATTAGTGGACACGTATGAAAATCATTACAGAATACAGGAGGATATCTGTGCCTCGGCTCCCAGACCGGCCATATTTATTTATGCAATGTTAATCAAGCACGTAGTACTAGTAGAACTCACGGTGCCGTGGGAAACGAATATCCGTAACGACCATGCTTTAAAAGAAAGAAGTACTTTGACTTAACCAATGAAATAACTAAAAATGGTTATGCCGTTGCGTTGTATGCCGTAGAAGTGGGTGCGAGGGGTATACCAGCTAAGTCCCTCTATAACGTGCTAAGCTCTTTTCTTTTAGTTAGTTTAGTTACACAGCAGACAATGGAGGTGACGCATTGCAAGGAGTACTCCCTAAACCAATACCGGGGGACAATTCCCAGGCGCTGTCGAAGTCGCATGTGTGTATCACGCGATGGGCCCGGCACCCGCACGATGAATCCTCTGAACGCTAAGAAATAGGTCTTTTTAAGCCAAATTTTTAATACACGAAAAAAGATTTGGGATTAATTTTGATGGTATGTTAATGTACAATTTTAAATCTCTTAAAGATATAATTTTCTATTTTACCAAAATTATATAAATATAGTTAATTTTCGACACAAAGGAGTATAATCATGATCTTGTATTGATAAGTTTGAATAACAGTATTGAGTGAAGAGACAGCAATACTCGTAAAGTCGTCGAAGCGTTAATGTTCTTCACTCGCTCGCTTTTCGCTTTGATGGAAAGACAGAAAAAAGTCTTTTTGTTCCAGATTGGAAATAATCCATACGTTTCTAAAGTTTTTAACATGGGAATATTTAGGAAAGTAACGCTGGTTTAGCAAAGAACATAGAATTCGTGAAGATAAATCTCTAATACATTGAAGCTTTTTCCAACATCATTTTATGGCCATCGCTTATGACTGTAAAAATGGCAATGGATGTCTAATATCTTGAAAAAAACTGCAAAAACCGTAGATAGCTTATTTGACACACGCATAAACTAAAATATTATGAAGAAACAAGTGTTTAAAACTTGTTTTTCCATCTTAGTTGTATCTCGGGGCATAAATCTAGCACTATAAATGAGGATAATATTCGAGACCAATGAATTGACTCTTAAAAACTTTATTGTATAACTGCAAATTTCATGGATCACAGGACCCCACTTAGCCCTGATTTGTTGCACTGATGACCTTGGACTCACATCCATGTAAATTATAAATATTTTTAGAATAAAATAGTGACAACACAACAACCCGATTCAAGAATATTAATAGCTGTATAAACATATTTTGTTTTGCTATTGCGATTTATATAGTAAAAAGTAGAAACAACACAAATGGGCATAAAACTACTTTACAGTTGTATTACTCAATTCCAGTTTAATTTTCCAACAATTGTGCTTCTTTAATCTTTAAATATATTTATGGAAGGACAGAATCGTGTTTTACGTAAAATCTATCTTTTGAAACACCATGTAACTGTTCTAATTAAAGTTCAAACTAGATGATGCGTCAGTATCTATCACACAGTTTTTACCAGCTCAGTCATCGTCGTTTAACAAATTATAATAATAAAATATAACCTCACTCATCTCATACTCGGCCGTCTGATCCCAAACGGCAGAGCCTCTGCTTTTGTGACCAAACTGTGACTTTCATTTATATATAAATAGAATCAAATATTGTAAACCACATATTAACTTAAAATAGGTCAGCTGTGTCTCGTTTAATTGTATGGTGAATAAATATTTTTAGTATTCTATTTATTACATTTAAATTATATACATATCGATTACATTTTTAAATGTATAACAAAGGGAAAATATATATTATTACTTGATGTCAAAGTAAGCACAATCTTATCATGTTCAGTGCTTCCTAAACTATACACAATAAGAACTACCAAGATCAGAATTACCACACTTTCATATTATTGGCTTTGTTAATGATGAAATCAGCCATTTAAGACTTTGTACACCTTCAAATAGCCCAATACTGCTAACTTAATGCTATAAAGTCTAGTAAAAGCAATAACATTAGAACGTTTGGATTAGTCTTAGCTAAAGCAGTTTTCATTCGCTTAAGTAATCAAAGATTGTCATCTCTTATAAACTTGATGAAAAGTGTGAATCATTCGATGAATTAGAAAAAAAACGATTAAAGGGCTTCATACAACTCAGCAAATTTAATGTTGAGTAGAACATTTTCAGTTTTAATAGCTCGATGAAAGTTTAACCACTTATGCTTGTTACATGCACATAACATTTGTGTAATCTATACCTAAAAATTCTGTAGGTGTTTTTATTATAAAATAGAAATTTTTACATATGTTAGAAAAATAATATAAATTTATCTGGATCTTTCCATTATATGGAGACAAAGTTAAGCTTAGAGCGCAGCTCTGGATGATTGTATCAGGGTAGCGGCCGTGGTAAGTATGGACCAAAGCGAAGAGTGACCCGCGCCGCGATTGCTCCGAAGTGAAACGGTTGTAGTCTTGGTGGGAGAGAAGACGGTATCGCGTGACAATATCTATGAATAATTTAATTAAATAAGACTTTATTAATATTACATATTGTAAAAAAAAAGAAACGTTATTTCGTTTAACGTTAAAAGTTATTTCTTTAGATTTCTCAGTATTCAAATGATTTTTTTTAATAGTCAAAGCGGTTTGAACTGATCATTTACTATTAGTCGATATGCCACAGCCCTGTTTTATATGTACTAGAGATCGCATCGACCATTTTGAATGTGTTATTTTATTTCAAAGTACGAGCATAACTCCTAAAGAATGTATGGTCACAGAAAACAAAACATGAGGCGCAAAAGCACACGGACAACAGATTTATGTACTTATATTGTAACATTAATGTGAATTGAGAATTATAAAAAAGGTGTAAGATATCATCAGTAGGCCAAATTAACAATTTCGTAAGTAATACTAAATACTCTACACTTATATGCATGTATTTAGGAACTTTAGTGAATTATGTATGTATGTAACACGAAATGTCACGCAGTGGCAACCCGTCCGGAAACTGAATATTAATGCCTCAGTTGCTTTGGCCCCTTTACTTCGTAATTCTAATTCTTAAACTAGTAATGTAACAAATAGGCATATTGCCTATGAGATAGACAGTGGTTACTGTTAGTACATAATTTAACGAACAAAATTATGGCGTTAGTTAAGATAGTTGTCGATCAATTTAATCAGCCTATTGCAGTTCAATGCTGGACATATATGGATCTCTTCTTATAATATTTCGGACACAACGTCTCTTCTTATGTATTCCAACTTCTTGTTCCAATCTATTCTAGCTATCTTCATGAGATCCTTAGTCCATTTAGATGTAGATGAAAATAAATTACATGAAATTAAGCCTTAGATCTTAAAATAAAGTCAGACATCTTAGATTTACATTTGTACTTTTCATATACTTTAGTACTTCGTATGTGAGTTTTTTTTTTTGTGATTATGAAGAAAATATGTACAGTTGTGCAAAAGCTCTTTACATCGTTTTATTCGTACCAATCGGAAACCCATCTTAGACTTACAATTGTGCTTTCCATACACATTGGTACTTCATATTTAAGAAAAATTTGGTCATAATGGTAAAAGTACGTACAGTTGAGTAACCTAATCGGAAACGTTTTATCCTCAAATTACAGAAAGTAAGCGAATGTTTCTTACTGACGAATTCAAATACCTTTTTAGGCATCTTGTAAACCTTTCCGCAAATTATGTATAAAGCTTATTTTGGCAACTAAATTGTGTGAAATCTGATTTAAAATGACAATAAATGAATTTCGACTTTTGAGAATTTCATAAACTTTGCTATCTGAGTTTCATCAGTCAGGTACGAATCGAACTCGTGCGCCGAGGGTTCCGTAGCTACCCAGAATGTACGTAGATTTTTCACAAAAATTTGTAAGTACCAAAATTAATCTTCATTTTCAACTATTTTATTTTTTGGAATTATTCCGTTATTTGTGCTGTAAGACGTTTCTTTCGACAGTTCTAGGTCAACGGGAACTACCATATAGGTTTTCGACCCAAATCCTATAGGGTACTTCCGGTTGACCTAGAACTGTCAAATTTAGTTAAAAGCAAGGTCTTACCGCACAAGTAAAGAGAAAATTCTAAAAAATAAAAAAAGTTGAAAATTAAGGTAAATTTTGGTACTTAGCACCTTCATTTTTATACACCTAATAGAGACCATAGACCTCAGTATCTGGTATAAATTTCAACTTGCTAGGTCTACCCGTGCCTGAGAAAATTTTCGCTAAAAGAGTAATCGGTATGCCGTATGAATTAGTCAAACAACTACAATTCAATCAGAAATTGTTTTTCCTGTCTTACTTACTGGCGCTAAGCCATGGCAAAAGACCCAAGCAGCCAGCATTCAGAACGAAAGACTTTTGACTTTTTTTCTCTATTTTTTTTATCCCTGGAAAACGAGTGAACAAGTCTTCTGATGGTAAATAACAACAAACAGTGTAACAATTAAATTATGTTCACAAAGAACTGAGATCATGATAAGGATAGTGATAGAAGAATGCAAAAGGGATAGTCAGTACACGGTGCTCTACATACTTTTGTAAAAATTCACTTGAGTACGAGTAATTCAACGATGAATAACATACGAACTAGAAGAATATAAATTACACCATACATGGTTTGCGTTGTGCATTGTTCTTCACAATTTCATTCAAATTTTTGTTTCAAAATCCAAAAGTGCCCCAAATAAGTTGAAAAATAAAAACAATGTTTTCAATTTTCTTGGCAGGTGAGGGGCGAGCGTAATGCGCCTTCGCCTGTGATGACTCTAATATGCAGTGGGACGGCCTCTACTTCGTGTTTCTAGCGTTATGCTGCCTTCATACTGCATCTGGTAAATATATATCAACGTTCTTTATGTATGCATTTATAAATAAATATTGAACTAAAATAACTGCTTAATGAATAGACTAAACTAAATAAATAAATTAATATTTATATAACACAAAGTCTTAGATGCATAGCAAATTGCTTATTCACTGTTTGCGACACTATCCAATAAAGTAAAACTAAAGATTTTAGATTGTGCACTATGAGAACTTATTAGAACTTTCGGCGGCACGCAATTACATTATTTTCTGAACTAACAGACTAAAAGATTTCAGCAGACGTTCTGAAGTTATTTCATGGTCAAGTTACTAATTTTTTTTAGTATTAAGATATATCTGTATTTATTCATATTACGGACCACTTTCATAATTGTATATTAGTTTGAATTTAGTGACAGTTTTAAGGAGTGGGTTCGTCCAACATTAGAGTGATATGGCTATAATAAGTTGAAATAAAATATTTTTACTACCTGTACTCCCCGTATATCTGTCCTTATGTATATAATACTATTTAAGAACTAGCTGACCCGGCAAACGTTGTTTTGCAGTATACATTATTTCAAGGAAATATTGAAAAAAAAAATTAGGGGTGGGTCACCCTTGTCACTTAGGGGTATGAAATATAGATGTTGGCCGATTCTCAGACCTACCCGATGTGCAAACAAAATTTCATAAAAAACTGGCCAGCCGTTTCGGAGAAGTATGGTAACTAACATTCTGACACGAGAATTTTATATATAAGAAGAAGCAGGAAGGCAAAGAAGCAGGAAGACAAAGCTCAAATACTCGATATTATCATTTTTTAAAAGAGAACCTTCACACTAGGATTATATTCATGAAACGGAAACCCAGACTCAGAACAGTAATTTGTGGATCACACAAACTGTTGTCCCATGTAGAAACGAACCCACAACACTTATCGCAGTAGGATGCGGCGAGGCTATCGCTTAAACCACTACGCTACACTACGCCACTGCAGTCTGTTGATCTTATCAAATATGTACTTGGAAAATACGCAATAAAGCAATAAAATCCTGTTAGATGTTGTCGTGTCACACATTCAACCAACTCAATTATTTTGTAAAGTAGGAATACCTGTAAGTACTTCTTCTCGGTTGTATGCTTCATGGCTGATGGTCGTAGCCGTTCTGAATTGTTTTAGTGACCTCAGCCACCAGCTGTCTCCACACTGTCTGGCCTGCCGCTGTTCTGAGCGCGGCAGTTAATAGGTGTCCCGTCAGTGTTGTGATCTGATCAGACCGATGGGTGCCGATCGAGAGGTTTTATCCTTTTTCTTTTCCAACTACTACCAGATTGTTTTTCTTTTCCAACTACTACCAGATTGTCAAGATTATTGGACTGGCTCCCGGCTATATGGCCAAAGTAGTCTAGCACTCCCTGGTAGCAAGTTGTTGACAGTCTGATCTTTACGTTAAGTTGTTTCAAGACTGATGCGTTCGTTCTCTTGGTCGTCCACGGTTGGACTTTAGACAAGATAGTTAAGTTAAAATATTTCCTTCCTAATACAATCTATAAAACTGCAATATATTCAGTTAGAGAATATTCATAAATACATCAGACTTGTCCATTACGTAACGATTTGACATGGGTTAACCACTTTGGACCCTAGAAAAAATATTGCAGAAGGCAATATTTTAAATCATAACAGCATTAAATTCAGATACAAGACCTTTTATGTAATAACGCAGATTCTTTGTATACAACATTTTTTTCGGTTTTGGGTGAAAGAGTCTGCCTCTGTTTTTTATATCGATAGCACTCGATCGATCTGCAAAATTAAGTATGTTTGTAAAACAAACAGTAACGTACTTCAGTGCTGGAATTTTTATCTGTACTGTCTTTACAATAACGATAGTACTACACATTTTTGTAAACTTTGTATATTGTACAAATGTAGTATTGTGTATGTAAATGTAGCATTAGCAAAGGAACACAATATATACAGAAAAAAAAAACGCACATGTGGTGTCCATTCAGTTACATTTTCTCGAATCTCTTCAAAAAAAGCAAAAATCATCCGCCTGCGAACTAATCCAAAGATCCCCGAGTGCTCCCGATTGATACGGTTCGCAACGCTCTCAATAGCGTTCATAAAATAACAAGTAGGTACTTACATATTCTTATATATTACACTACTAAATTATTACGTGAATAATATTTGTTTTCAAATAAAATGCCTTACAGGCATCATAATGATAAGTATGAATATGAACTATTGTTATTCTATATATTAATACGTAAAGAAAATCCTTGGCACCCCTTTTTCAACAAATATGATGTTCGAGAGTATTTCATATTTTGAATATACAGAATGCTAAAATTTTATGTAGTAAAAACTTAAAATATCGAAAAATGACTATTTACAATCATAGGTAGTATATATTTACCAGTATACTCGTATATTTTTACCTTTCATGGAATAAAAATCGATAAAATGACATTTCAAATTAAACTATTCAATTAAATAAAACAAGATACTGAAAGTATTCGGACTTTGGCTGCCAGGCGATCTCTAGTTCTATGAAGAACGATTTACGATTAAGATATGTTGCTACTGTTGATAGTTGTGTTGGAAATAATCAGTATGTTTTAAAGTTTTAGTTTTATTTAAGTTTATTTTTCGCGTTTGGCTGTATCATGGACATTGCCTAGTAGTTGGCGTGAATGTGCATATGAAACCGTGTACTTCTTACGGGTAATAAAAGCATATTATTCAGTTGATATTTATTGTTTATTTCAAATTCGAACGAGGGTCGTGTAAATTATCGCGCGTCACAATCCTCACTGTTGTGTCCCATTCTTCTTCGCAACAAATTCTTTTAGTTTCAATAATAGAGTGGTAATTATAATTTATACTTGGCATACCAAAATGTATCTCACGATTCGGTTATCATCGGCTGTCTGAATAGTTCGGTCTCATACATGAAAGTTGCTAGTATTTGCAATTTACAGCAAAGTATAATTATATGTTTTGATATTAGTATCTTCAATTGATATTAATGTTTTAGTTTTACAAAGCAATTCTTCTTCTCTCTTCTTTCTTTTAAAAATACTACCATCTAAAGGCGTCATTAAAACAGAAACCTAAGTATTCTTCAATAATTTATTTCCACTGGGATGCTAACATCAATATAACCTATAACACCACAAGAAAACTGTCAGTGTGTTTTCGTTGGGTTTTACATAATATATACCTTTTAATGCAATTTTATTGACGTATGCTTCTTTTTACGTTATTTTTCTTTAATCTTAAACCGTCTTAGTTGAATTTTTTTATATTATTGGTTAATGAAAGATCCAGAAATCGTAATGAAAATAAAATATGGGATTGTAAGTGTAATCTCAGTATCAAGCCAATCCTAAGCACTTCTTCTTTTTAAGCAAGTAATTGCTTTGTGCAGAACCGTTGCGCTTTCCTGAAGATTATCGACTAAATATCATTCGGAGGCGTCGGAGCGATGAGAAAGACAGTCTCGCTTTGTCCAGAGAAATATTCAAAAACATCACCAAGCAACTCCGCGAAAATATCAAGCGTGAAGGAGCGACTGACAGAAACGATCATTTGTTACAGAGTGAGTATCGATTTTCGCGTCTGCTGTGTAGGTTCTCGATCCTTGATGTTCTCACTTTAACTAGGAAAATACATTAACCCTATCTTATTAAAGAAGTTTCGACTCACTTCTAAATTTATCTTATAATTAAAGATACAAATTGTTTGTTGATTTAAAACAGGTTAAGCAAATGTTATTTCGAAGCGGGTTCTTTCTATTACCTGTCGTACGCAGACATCTTATTAACCAAGTTTTAATTATCATTAATTATTTTGTAATTTTGTTTTTTTTTTAATGTAAATAAAATTCTATTTACTAAAAAAGATTTATTACAATGATTAATGGATTGTCATAATTTCATAAAATACTGCGAATTAGATATGTTAGTAGCAAGTATAACTCCTGAGAGAGGCAGTTGTGGTTAAATATTTAAACTGGACATCATTTTATTTCTAAGAAACGATTATAGTTAATATAAGTGTTTATCATCCACCACTGTCGTCTAATAAATTCCTACAAAATATTTATTTGTAACTATACAACTAGAATCGTAATTAAAATCTACCGCGATCCTTGTCGGAGTAATTTACGTCTTTTTGTATAAATTAACCATAGCACTACAATAAAACAATTTAGTTTCCTAAAGTTTGAGCAGATAAAATTCTGCTCTCCTTTCTCTGTACGTTACTTTGCAAAGTGAAAGCAAAAACTTTCTGAAGAAATTAAGATAAAACGATCACTAATTAAGTTGATTTAAAATAACAAATATAAAGTTTAATTATTAAAATAAGTTTCCTTACTGTGCAATGTGTGTTTAATATTTTTGTTACAAGCAACGATTTTGAAATTATTCATCAGTGCTATGAGCTTTACTTGCCTTTTTAGTTGAGCCAATTGCCTGCTTAGAACCTAAAAGTATTTTTCAAAATTTCTTTAGTAGCTTATTTGTTAGCAATGAAACTAATTTATTACAATTGAAATGTGATTTAATCTTCCATTTTAAATCAAAAATGATATTTTGACAGACAAGCCAGAGGAGACACGTCCGTATGTCCCGTATCAGAGTTACCACGATCATCACCACGAGCACCACTGGGGCCCGTACTTCGAGGAGGAGAAGTATACTCAAGTGACGGCTCACGTTGGGGCAGAAGCCCTTTTGAACTGTAGAGTGGTCATGCTTAAAGATAAAACGGTAATTTTCTGCTACCACTTATAACATCGTTCAAGATATTCCAATTTGTAGCTCCAAAGAGCCACAAATTGTGTGCTACAAATTATGTCTCCAAATTACATATTCTGTATCAAAACCTATAATAATTTTTACTTATAATAAGCTATGGTAAGCTGTAGTAGGCGGTGTCTGAGTCTTTAAAAGCTTTTAAAATTATTTATTGATTCTTGATGGCCACAACAAGGTCAGTGTCGTTAATTTTCAAGGCAATTTACGATATTGAACATTACTATTTTATTTTACACAATTTCTGTTCTGTTTTATATCATTAATAAAATTGTAATTATTATGGCTTGAAAATATTAAGTAATGTGTTAAAAGCTAAGTTATTTAGATTTACATAATTTTAAGTTTTTAGATTTCCATTTCTATTTTTTACAAATATTTTAATTCTGACAAGTAAATTTTCTTACAGGTCATGTGGTTGCGAAACACAACGGAATCAGCACAACTTCTGACTGTAGGACCAGCGCTGTACGCTGGAGATAATAGGATAGCTGTTAAGTTTCAATATCCTAACAATTGGAGGCTCAGCATGAATCCAGTGAAATTTTCTGACGCGGGTCACTACATGTGCCAAATATCCACACACCCACCCAGAACAATATTTACAAACCTGACTGTTCTTCGTAAGTAAACATTACAAATCTACGTCCAGATCACGTGAATTATAAATTATAAATCAGCGAATAAATAAGTTGTCTAACTGAAATAATTAAATTCCTCAGCTTTACTGACCTTAGATATATTTTTAAATATGAAAATATCTTTGACATTGAAGTATGTTTTTCACTTTATATTGCTACACAATAATTTTACGATTTATTATTTACGATTAATTATTTACTCGTTAGTTTATTCTCCTTCGTTTATTTTAAACTAACATATCTGACATGGTTTATATGGTATAATCATTTTTGTACATTATAATGGTTTTTTGATTTGGTTAATTAAATAAACTCAAACGATTCACTCAAATCAATATGAAATAATGAAATAAAAATAATAATAATAAATATATAAGATTTTCTATCGAAGTTTACAAATCTATCATAATTGCTTAATACGCGAATGGTACAATAAAGCATTAAATAATTATTATCAATACAACTAAACCTGACTCGTAAACTAACTGACGTACAAAGCGTAAAGTCAATACAAAATTAGTGCACATAAATTATGAAACTAAATGAATAAAAAGATAATAAAACGTGAGCCCGTTAATTTTATTTATTGACACTGTTAAAAACAAATGAATATTGCGGTAACTCACATAAATCAACGTTGTTTTTATTAAAGGAGTTTGTTTTTTTTCCGCTTTCAACTTTATCTAAATTACTTACCTAATAAGAAACTAACAGCGACTACTTAAAAGAAAATCATTTTCAGACAGAGCCAGGAACATAGTATTTTTGTACTTTTGCCGAAAATTAAAAAGACAAGTGCTTTCAAAAATATATTAAGAGTACCTACGTGTATCTGACTCCCAAAGGGTCTCTAAATTCAATAGAGGGACATCGCTTTCGTTGGAAGTAGAATCAGTATCAGCACTTGAGTTTTGTAACAAAATATTTAGATCAAGTGAAATTTAGAGATATTTTTCTGTTTTTTTTTATGTTAGGAGTATTTTTATTTATTGGTCCTCGTGGTAATATTTACATATTGTCAAACGAGACTTATGTAGGTATATCTGATATATTAGTATAAACTTAGGTACATACAATTCAAATGAAACTTCATTTTTCAGCTCCTGTTATAACAATAAATGGTGACGACACTCACGATACAAAAGACAGATTTTACAAAGCTGGTAGTTCTATAAAATTGTCTTGTATCATATCAGAGTTATACGCGTCATCGTTACCTACAAAAGCACCTCGAGCCACGCCCCTGCCACCAACTACTCCACCAACGACCACCACCACAGAATTAACTACAAAAATGAGTACAATATTCAATAGAATAGATATTATGATGAATAAGAGTTGGAGCGTTGAGACAACAACGATTACTTCAACAGTAAGCTTAAGTACTACTACTAAAAAAGTACCAGAATTAAAAACCACGACTGAGTCGACGACAGCAAAGCCGACAGAGCCGCCTGTCGAAAACAATATTTATGGATTAATTTGGAAGAAACAAGGCAAAGAGTTTTTTGATAACGTTACTTGGCGGAATATGAGGTAAGATTTTGTAACTTTTTGTTTCCACATTTTCATTATCATTTATTTGTAGATTCCTCTTTCTGAATTTTTATAATTTTCAATACCCTTCCTAAATTTTCATTCCAAGATTTTATTCCTAAATATCTAGACAACATTATACACAATTTTATTGAGTTCTTTTGTAGTTTAAGTATACTTGAATAACTGTGCTATGTTTTAAAAATAGTATAGTATATACTCATAGATATAGTACTTTATCATCATCATCATCAGCCTATCGCAGTCCACTGCTGGACATAGGCCTCTCCGATTGCACGCCACTTAGATCGATTTTGGGCTTCTCGCATCCAGTGTCTTACAATGTTTAAATCAATGTGTACTTTGACATTCGATAATCCACTTATTGCAGTTTGGACTTACAGTTCACAGAATAAAATCGCCATTTGAGACCTCGTTAATGCGTAGAAAATCTGTTAGCTATTGAATATTTGATCCTCTTTTAAGAGTTTGTGAAGAATATTGTTTATTATGTTTCGCCAGCGACTTCACTGTAGAACAGTGTCATTTTCTGGATAAAAGACACCTCATGTCCTTTTCTGTACATCTTACAATGTGTAGTAGCTAGTGCCTCCTACTATGAGGCTGGATCCCTCAGGTGGCTTCCTCCGAGGCCCATGAAAGAATAAGGTCTCGGATTTGTGCAGAACCACCTCGAGACCCAGCCGCCGGATCTGCTCAATGACTTGGGCAACCCCAGGCGTAGCCCTCAATGTTGAATCACGGTGCGTCTTGCCGTACGCCGTCACGAGTGTGTTGTCCGCGTAGCACATGACGGCGACACTATGCAAGTAGGCACTACATAGTCGTAGCCGATGTTCCACAAGAGTGACCCTAACACCGACCCCTGTGGAACACCGCACGACATTTCACATCTACCGAGACCTACTTGGGTAGACAACGGCTCTCTTCGACAAATATTCCCCGACGTGCCCCGAAATGCGGCGGAGGTAGAGAGGCACTTCGTGATACAAGAGCGCCTCCATGATGCAATTGCAGGGCAATGTCCAAGGTTGTTGGCGATGTCCAAGGACACCGCCAATGCCACTTTGCCCCAGGAAGATTGACTTAACACAGGTGTCCTGTGAGACCGTATTTTCACTCCGGTCGAACAGACTCATAGTCATGACTCTCCTAATGTAAAAGTGATGAAAATTGGCATTATAATATTAGTATGAATAGGACAAAGTTTTAAGAAATAATTATTGTTTCGAAATGGATGTATTTGATAATTTAAAAGAATCTTGCCTTTCAGTGCCACGATTAGTGTTGCATCAGCATCACAGAATGATAGTGGGACGTACTCATGCCACTTGCAAAATCACTCCCAAGTTACTATTAATGTACATGTACTGATTGGTAAGTTTTATTAAATTAATTATAAAATTATTAAGCTCTAGATTGCTATATTTCCATCAAAATTATATAATTTGTTAATGAACAGCTGAAGTTGAAGCTGAAGGCTGAATAGTTTGAAATATTTAAGGTTTTGTGTTTAACTTTGATTAAAATGTAATTTATTGTTAGGTATTTTTCAGGTATGAGTAATCTAACTTAATTCATTTGGACTTACAACAAAGAAATTATACTACATCTTAAAAATTCCATTAAATAGAGAATATTCAAATACAATTTAACACCAAACTATTTTTTTTAAATAAACTAACTTTAACATAGTTTCGGTCAACTTGAATATATTATTATATATACTAATAACACTAATAAATAATAATTATATTATACTAACATTTTTTATAGTTTTTTTACATTATTTTAAAGAAAGAAATTTTAATAATACACAATTTACTAAGCATTTATCGTATGCTTAGAAATCAACTAATAACACCTAGATGCCATGTATATTGCTTTCTATAAAAACAAAAACTTATAATTTGTACCTAACATTTTATTCGGTACTCATATCTACAGTGTAAATATTATGTATACTCGTATTAAAAGCGTAGATAGCGCACAAACACATCGTTTCCCTCTCTGCCTCAAAAGCCTTTTATTTATGCGAAATATTTTTCTTTTGGTTAACATTTTCCTACCAAATATAATAAAATTATTGAAATATATTGATAACATTAACAATGTATGTGTTATTTTTATCAGGCGAAAATCAGGCCGCGGTACAACACAATACGGGGAACAAAGGAACACTTTTTTGGCAACCACAAGACTTAACTTTCGTGTCTCTTGCGGCTTTAATATTGTTTTATCCATGAATGTAAAAAAAAATATGTGAAAAAATGATCAAATATGCGATTATAATTAAGACAAATATTACAGAAATGTTTTCTTAAATCGTGTTTCCAAAAGATATTTATTGAAAATTTGCTGCAAATCATTTCGAGTTATTTAAATTTAGATAAGATAAAGTAAAATGTAAAACGCGACGCATGACGTATTTATTGTAGAAACAAAACAAGATAATGTTCTAAATCTGTCGTAAAATACAATCATATACGGTTTTTTTAAATACTCATTAAGAAATTCAAAGATGAAATTCTATGGTGATGAGCTCTTTGTTTACAAACGATTACCAATTTGTTAATACATTGCATAAAATGCTCACAAAAAAAACGCACATTGCTGAGCGAAATAACGCTCCACCAATCAAATTATTACATTAATACTCGTATGTTCGTTCTCCTTTTGATATTTGCATCAAATACCCCTGATTCAAAACCATCTAATAATTGATCTACTTTAAGAATGAGAAAGATTAATTTCTTTCATTTTTACATAGTAGAACGGCGGGCCTTATGAATTATTTTTATGGTTGGGGATTATAATTAACTTTACTGTATAATTTGATGAAGTATTACACAAAGTGTATTAATGTAGTTATAATTGTAAATAATTAATTCATCAAAAGTAAAACTATGTATAAGATCCGTATAACATCTGTAGACTATTATATTAACGTGTATTTTATTACGAAATGTACAGTCGACGCTATTGATCTCTTACTATAAGATATAGATGATACCTTTCTTGTTTGTATTATAAATAGGAACAAAATCAGGCGAAGCCGAAACAGAACATTAATGTTTAAGATATTTTATATGTTGTTGCACATTTTTGTTAATAATACACAAGTTTTTGCTCTGTAAACAAAAAAAAAGACTATATGTATTAAATGACTGTAAAACTATAAATTAAAAATTAACATATACTTAACAAAATGCTTTTTATTTATGACAGCCCTGTCTTATTGGTATTTGGTAGAACTTGTGATGCCATCATTTAAATGGTCAATAAATAGCTTGTGACGATTCTACATACCGCTGTAACTAGAAGTTGAGCATTCCGTAAGAATTTCACATTTCAGAGGGCTTATTGTAAGTTTAATTGAATTCTACTCGATCGTCGCGGTAACCGCGTTCGGCGTTATGATTGGCCTGAACTAAACTCTTCAACAATCACAACACCGAACTTACACTAGTGTTATACCTCTCTGGTGTTATACCTCTTAATATATCGCGGTCCATCATACAAAATCATTTATGTCCACAAAAATTACTGGTTATGGCAATGGCAATCAGTAACAGTTGTGAAAATAGCCAGTGGCTTCTGTTCCGATTTTCAGGCAGTGCACTTAAAAAGTATTCGAATATACATTTTACGCGATTGCACTAATTACACATATTATTAAAAAAAACTATTTTAATGTAAAAAAAAGGAGAAAACCATTTGACCTTCCAAGGTTATCACTTGTCCGCGGCCATTTCGAGACACAGCTGGCCTCATATCACAATGGATATAAATGGACGACTGTACTCCTCTTTGTAATATACGAGTATAAGTCTTTTATACATATGTGTACAATGCTTTCAACTAAATTGGTAACCCTAGAAACCTTTACACCAATTTGCGTACTTTCAAAGATCGCCGTCATACATTCCAGCAATATTGCCGTGCAAAAAAAAATGTATAACCTTTTACTAGGGTCGGTAGTTCATCTACGAAAACACTTTTCTGAATGAACCCTTTGAAAGCGTCTTATGAAATGTGATATACTGAGATTTGTATTATACGTAGTGATTCGAAGCGGACGATATTATCTTCAGCTTCCAGTGAGAAAATGGGATAGGGCGTCGACGATGTAGAAAATCAATTATATAGCTGACTTCAGATTATAATAAAGAAAGTGGTGTTGATGTTTCTATTAGCAGCAAATTGCTTTTACTGATATCATCTTCAAATTGTTATTTAAGTAAATAATGGTTATTGATTTATTAGGTATTTGAAAAGTTACGAAGGCACATTGAAGTTTAGAAGATTCAGTAAAAATACTATTGTATTTTATCAAAATATTAAGTGTACGGTTGCGCTGTATTTTAGTGGTAGTCTATACTGGATTGAGGCAAATATTTACGGGATCCAAAGGTAATGTTTTTGATTTGAATGCATTTTCTATCTATTACCTACTAATAAAAGCTTTGCGGTATAACGACGGTCAATTTAGAGAATTTACATTGTCCGCGAAACACTTTTGGTAACATATTCGATGTTAAATGTATCGAATAAATATATTAGAATTAGCCGAACAACTAATGATCATTGGAGTAAATGAGTCCTAAAATAGACTACGAATTTAGTATATACTACACATTGTTAAATAACTAAAACTATGAATCGATTAATTAAAGATTTGAAGATAACTGGGATTTGTAGGACGCGAAAGGCGGAGGACTGGTTCATATTTGGTACCACTTTTGTCCAGCAGTGAATAGCAATTTTCTTATCGATTAATATCATCGTTATCAGCCTATCGCAGTCTGGACATAGGCCTCTGTAATGGCACCTTACTTAGAAGGACCCTCGACTAAATGTCGAAGATCGATCAATAACGATAACGCCATTGATTTATATATTGGAACATTATGCAAGTTTTAGAATATCTTTAAAGTTAATGTTAATGTTACATAATAGATTCCGATCTTTAACAAACATAAGAAATCTGTCACAACAAGCTTCAATAAAACAGGGTACGTTATTATAATTAAAAAATGTGCATTTGTACAAGCTCAATGTGAAAAAGGTTAAACAATAAATGTTTACTTTACAGATTTTGCAATATTGATGCACAAAGTAGTAGAGTGTAGTCTTCCAAACTGTTAGGGAGCTCTGCAAGAGCTTTAGTAAGTGTAAACATTGTTTTTAATGTCTGTAATAAAAACCAATGGCTTTCAGAATGTTTCGCGGCTTAGCTAAAGCTTACTCGTATCTTTGATGTCTGTTAAACTGCTTGGTGTACTACGATAATAATATCATCTATAAAATACAAATAAACCTAGAATATATAATATTTTGAACTTTACGATAGAAGAGAAGAATACTTTTGGTTAATGTAATAAAGTACATAAATTTCTTCAACTCATATATTAAATACTATTTGCCGTATAATGAATTGCTTGTTAAATGTAACCTATTGACTCTCAGCTCGAGGCGAAAGTACATTGAAGATTTAATGCTGTATAAAATTGCAACCAACAAAATTAACTGACTGGCCTGTTGGTCTAGTGGTTAGTGACCCGGACTGCTAATCCGGAGGAGTCGATTCCCACCCAGGACAAATATTGTGTGATTAGCACGGTCATTTGTTCTGTGTCGTGGTGTAATTTATCTATGTATGTTTATCAGCAGTCTGGTCACCATAGTACAGACTCTGCCTAGTATGGGTTCAGAAGGCCGTGTGTGAGACGTGTGATGTATATTAACTGCACTGAATTAAATAACATAGTATGCTATACGGTCCCCAGAACGATTTACAGGCGTAAAGTGTGTGCAGGCAAACTATTTTCAGTGAAGAAATGTTGTACCAACACTGGTATTCGCTCGCCGATGCGTCGTATGTAAGACACTAACAACAAAATATTCATTAATGTTGGTATTTTTGCCTGCTTAATAAGCAAGTTTAAAGGCCTTGTGCTTAAGTCATTAGATTAAAATAACATAACCGAATTAACTTTGATCCTAGTTCTAATGTTAATAAATACTTCTAACAAACTGCGTAACTTCAACGAATAATGTATGTATGTTCCAACCTGTACAAATGTGAGCGTTTTTAATATTATATTTTATTAACAGGAGTTAGTCCTGTTAATTCCTGAATAACGTCGTGGACTACAATATAACATAAGTACAATATCTTTTAAGATTATATTGTAATATGTATGTTGTAGCTGTTTGTTAGTCCTATTCAATAAAAAAAAGAAGTTCACAAAATTCAAGATTATTTAAGAAACAAATACATACGTTAAAATCATCTTATTTTCTATGAAAGAGCTGTAATATTAATTTAAAAATATATCACCAACTGTTTGAAATGAATTCGAAGTAAAGCATAATTAAGATAATCTATAAAACTATACTTTTAACCACAAAATGGTTAATAGAGATTTTAACACAATCTGTTTTGAATAACACTGAAAGTATTAGTATCTACATACATACTAATATGCACGAAGATATGTATAATCTAGTTTGTACTACTGTTTGTCCTAATGATAGAATACTGTTTGAGCTGGAACCTCTTTCAAGTTTGATAGATGTTAAAGCGAGCATTTAAATACATGTCAAGCGTGGTGACGTAGCCTCAGCAACGATCTGAATGTATTGTTGAACTAGAGACGAAGGGAATTGATTGGACATACCTTCCATGCATGCCTTACTCTGACAACAAAGAGCTCAACGGTTCTAATTTCTCAGGGTAGCCAATATTGCTAAATACTTTACCCATCGGTGTATAAATATATACAAGCAATAACAATAGAGCCGAAAATGACCAATTCTGTCTATGTATATGCGTCAGATTACATATATATTAATTGGTGTACTCGATGGGTAGTTTGCTACTCTAGATTATATATCTATACATATAAATATATATGTATATTTATAAATTTATTATATAATATGTAAATAAATATTCATATTTACATATTCACTCTATTCTATTCTTTATACAACACTCGTTCGTATACTTTTGAATAATACCTCTACTTCACTACAGCACTCTAAAGCACTCTGGTAAGGAATGTCTTTAGCATTAAGTCCGCTTCTGGACGCATTGTACATAAAGAAGTAGATAATATATATAGTAGATAATATATATAGTAGATATAATAATGCTAACAACAAACAAATAAAATAATCCAAGTATCGAAACAAGTCTCCCAATTTATCAACAATGGTTTATCTATCTTTTTGACACGCA